AAGGGGGTTAGATGGTAGAATAGATATATAATCTAAATCTCGCCTCCTGTAAGAATATTACAAATAAAAGGCGTTAATTATTAATTATTATTATTATTATGTCTCTTCAGAAACACTTTGAGAAGAAGGCGGTTGAGACATCAGAGAACAAACCAGCAATTTGGTTCCGGTACGTGGACGACACCTTCATGATTTGTAAACATGGCACGGACAGGCTAAACAAGTTACTGCAGCACCTCAACGATCGGCATCAAGCATACAATTTACCATGGAGATAGAAAGTGACCAACAACTGGCCTTCTTGGACTTACTAGTTAGGAAGCGAGGTAACAAGCTGGGTCACACAGTGTACAGGAAACCAACGCACACTGACAGATACCTGCACGCTTTGTCCAGTCATCACCCAAGTCAGAAGTATGGAGTCATCAGAACCCTGAGAGAACGAGCTCGAAAGATTTACGAACCGGAGAACCTCCAGACAGAACTTAAACACCTGAAAACTGCGTTCGAAGCAAATGACTACAGCAAGATCGAAAGATCAATGGGCTCAAGATCAGCCAGGCCACGTGAAACCGAACAGCGTCCCACCACCATCCAAGCGTATCTTCCATTTGTGCCAAGAGTCACGGACAGGATTGGCAGTGTCCTGGAAGAGACATGACATTAATACAATCTTCAAGCCTACGAAGAAGATCCAACAAACCATCAGTTCGCAAAGGACAAGAAGGACCCACTATCAGCTGCAGAAGTCTACCGCATACCGAGTTCATGCAGCAAAGTATACATTGGATCCACGAAAAGATCAATGGGAACGAGGCTCAAGGAGAACAAAGCAGATTGCCGGCTAGGACAAACTGAAAGTCTGCGGTAGCTGAACATGCACTAACCAATGGGGACCACAGGATACACTTTGGGAGCTGCAGCTTGCTGTCATCAGTCAACGGCTATCACAATAGACTGGTTAGGGAAGCTATCGCGATTCACAAACGTCCAGATAACTTCAACAAGAAGGAAGAGACCCTCAGACTCAACCCGATCTTCCACCCGATCCTCAGAAACGCCCGAGCAGTGCTGACCGACATCCCGAAGTCAATCGAGGCGGAACAAGGAACGTCACCTACCCTATGGTATAAATACAACCATGCGCAAGAGAAATCGTAAGTCTACATCCAGCATCGGAAATGGAAGGACCTCCGAAGAAGCTTGCCACTCGTGCTAGCGAAACGTTAGGAAGAAATTCCAACCGACGACGGCCTTCAATAATAATAATAATAATAATTTATTAGTCCTGTATGATCACAGATGTGATATAGTATAAGTCAGTCAGAGCACTACAAAAGCTAATCGCAAATCATGTTACTGTGGACGCACCCATATTCGTACCACATATGGTATATTCCAAATATGTATACAGATAAATGAAATTAGCGTATTGATAAAATTTATAAATATAAAACATATATGTATATATAAAAAAGCGAAATAAAGGACAAACCATTAAATGACATTCAAACAACAATGTTCAAAATCAAACAAGACATTCACACATTAAAAATTCCTCAATAGAGTAAAAAGCTTTCTCTAGTAAAAACTGTTTGACTGTTCTTTTAAAAGTGTTCAGTGGTTGTGATTTCAAATTGTTGGGGAGTCTGTTGAAAAACTTAATAGCCATGTATCTAGGGCTCTCCCCCGTTCTCGCCAATCTGTGCGACGGCACCTCCAATACTTGACTGTTCCTTGTAAAGTAAGCACCAGTGTTTACAGAATTGAACTTGCTCAATTGTGTTTTAGCAAGGATAAGTATATTGAGTATATATACAGATGGTAAGGTTAAAATCTTTAACGTTCTAAATGAATCCTTGCAGCTTGTGAGCCTTCCAATTTTAGCTATTACTCGAACAGCCTTTTTTTGCAACACAAAAAGTCTTTGCAGCTGGGACGATGCTCCCTATGCTTCTATTCCATAAATTAGGACTGAATGGATGTGTGCATGGTAAAATATCAGTAATATCCACTTCTCCACAACAAAACTTAACTGGTACAGACAGTAACAGAGTGGGGCGATCTTTTGGCTACTTTTCTCGATATGCGTATCCCATCTACAATTTTGAGATATATATATATATATATATATACATATATATACTTTGAAGTTGAGTTATTAACTTTCAGATAATGATTGTAGAAGGAAGATAAACCAAAATATGTGTGTAAAAATAAAAAAAAATTAAAAAAAAAATTACCTTGTTTTATAAAGTATCCTCCCGACAAGTAATTCAGTGCGGACCTGTATTTGATAGTAAGGTCTTGGAGCACCGGCATGCCGTCACCTGATTCATGAGCCCGTTGTACTACATTAACAAAGGCACGAGGGGTTGGTTGCACTCGATTGGGAAACCGATCCGCATAAACATGTGCCATTTTTTATTTCGTTTGAGCCACGCAACAGACACGACTATTCACTCCGCGTTACCGACTGACACTGACTGTATACAAATGAATAAAATAATTGTAAAAACACCGTTCCAAATTTTTTCGCTTTTTTGTTTCCGATGCGATGAACCGATGAGGCGGATTATATCCGTTGTCGCCAAACACGAGCACATAATATTATTATTGAGACAGGGCGGTACTCAAACCTCCAAAGGGCTATAACTTTGTTACTTTAATTTTACCAGAAAAATGGTAAAGGAAAAAAACATTTCTTTTGATCAGATCTACTCACTGTTAAAATAAATGACTCAACTTCGAAGTCACCCTGTATATATATCCCTAAAAATTTAGTCGCATCCGCTTGTTTTATTGATTTGCCAAACGATTTTATTAATAAAGTGTGATCCATCGGAGAGGTGGAAAGGTTAAATCTATGGAAAACAGATTTCTGATTATTTAAGACGAGCCCCTTATTGCTGAACCACTTACCTGCAAGAGTCAAGCTTGAATTGGCAATTGCTACAACAGATTCTAGGTTTTTACCATTAACAAGTAAAGAAGTGTCATCAGCACACATTATCGAGCAATCGGAGGGAAAGTCATTGACGTACATTATGTATAAGAGAGGACCAAGTATGGAACCCTGTGGAACACCAGTATGGTAGAAATGTTGGCTGGACTATGCATTTTGTACCTAGACATGATGCTTTCTATCCGACAGATAGCTTTGGAACCAGTCAAATGGCTTCCGTCTGATTCCATATCTATCCATTTTATCTACCAGAATACCGTGGTCAACCAAGTCGAAAGCTTTGCTTAAATCAAGAAATATACCTATGCATTTTTCTCCTTTATCCATCTTGAGATATAAGTCATCTAGGAAACGAAGTACGGCATTTTTGGTTGACATGCCTTTTCTAAATCCAAACTGATTACTATTAAATAATTTGAATCTATCAAAGAAATTGATGAGTTGCAGAGAGACATATTTCTCAAACACCTTCGAGAAGGTACTAAGAAGTGCGATAGGTCTGAAGTTACACATATCAAACCTATCTCCAGACTTAAACAGCGGCCCGAATCAAGACAGCAGTTTATCAACTGGCCGCGAAAGCGTTAACCAATTTGATACATAGATATCACTCACAGTCTTGTACTCCAAGCTGGGTTGTTTGCTCTGATGTTTTGTTTAATGCCCTTGAAGATGTTATATTTTTCTGTACCAAATTTCATGTTTTTGCAGTATTTTGGATTTGTGTGGTTATCACATCTTTTCAGTGAATCTTCAGAAGAAAATTCTGGTTGTATCGCTTCGAATAAAATACCACAAGAAAGAACAGAAGTGAAAGAATGATGCTTAATTGCACTGTTGTTAAAATTTTCCACAATCAATTCGAAAAGCCACGAAGCACTGGAAAATCGGACGGTTCAGTAGACCAACATTATGGAAACAGTTATATGGAAAGACTGTACATCAAGATAAATGATAGAAATAAGAGAACAAATGAGTTGCTCTTTGTTATTGAACAAGCATCGTTTACTACTACATAATTTTGGATTTTTGCTCAAAATTTTCACAAAATTTCGCTTAACTCAAAAACGGTTCGACGTTTTACTAAGGTGTATGTGGCTCACTGTGTTCCAAATGAGGTTATTACCCCTTTAATTCACCTTCCGAATACCCTGTATATGCAACAAACCACGAGGGTATCGTTGCAATCATATCAGATGCTTTGACATCTTGACATAAATACAATGCAGAGTTCAGCATTCATGGTTATTAATTCCATCCCCAAACTCATTTACCCTCGCAATATCAAATCCTGTGATGTTCCACGTTGGGTGCACCTACAGCTAGCAGGCATACGTCGTTGCAACTAGTAAGCCCGCTTGATTTCTTTTGTCTGATTTTGACAGAGCCCGCCGCATGGGGCACAAGCTCCGGGTTTTAAATTACAGAGTAAAATATGTAAAGCGTGCTTGTGACAGCGGAACAGTTTCAGACGATGTCGTATGAAACTTTATGATGTTTGTGATTATGTTTTCCATTTGCTACAAGTATACAAGGCCTGATTTATATTTTCGGTAATTTTAGAACAATTGCCGTGTACTTGCTGTTAGTCTACATGCCGTTTAAAGTCGGGTAATGGCTGTGCTTGATGAGATGACGTACGAGATATTCATCTAGATCTAGATTTAGGCTTGTTTGTTTTATTAGGTACTGTGGTTGAATTACAGTTGTAGGTCACTTCCGAGGGCGTAGATATATTAGGTTGTGCTGAGAAAACTAGTATTCCAGCCAGTGCAGTGGCGCATTTAAGGGGTGGAGGGCGGGAAGGCTGGCCAGACCACGTTCTGAGCAAGTTTTCCAATGTTTAGGTGAACTATTATTTGGTCACGATTCACGTATCAAATAAATGTCCAGAATTTTTTAACTCATATCCGTAAAAGCAACGTAACTTTAACACTATTTCCATCATAGTAATGCAAGCTAACGTTTTTTACCGCCATAATAACGTAAGTCCCTGTCGGTTTCTGCGACTTACGTCAGATTTTCGCAGTCAGTATTTGGCTTACGACAGTGTTAGGTTCGTGCTACCATCGACTAATTATTGATTTTAGGTAAGTAAATACTAACGACATTTTATAGTTAGAATATAACAATCTGAACTGATATTATGTAGGTACATACCTATAAAATTCCATTTCATATTTAATTTCGTTCATTTATTACAAATGATTGTGTGATAACCTCAAGGTCTGTGAGAAATTTGCAGGAATGAATCGGCAGAAGTTAAAAAAACGTTTTTTTGTAGTTAGAATTTAAAAATATTAAATCCTTAACTATTTACTCCCATTTCATATTTAATTTCGTTTAATAGAAGTTATTCTGTCATAACCTGGAAGCCTGTGAGAAATTTACAGGAATGAATTGGTTGAAGTTAGAGAAAGACTGTTGTATTTGTTTCCATTATATATTCATAAATGCTCGGTTACTTTCAGATTGTGTCTATGGTCAGTTCACGAACAAAAAGGATTTTGGCGGCTCTTAGCCAAAATGATGAATCGAATAATGTTTATTCTGAGGAAGAAATCGGGTCTATGGCGATATCCATTATTTCAAGTGACAATATTTTTGACTAGATAATTCCGAAAATATTTTAAAAACTACTTTAGTAAATGAAGACGTAATCGAAATAGATCAGTTTTATTGTCTTCTAACAATTCGAGTCCTTATGAAAATGATGGTAACCGTACTATGCAAGAAGAAATAAATTTACCAATAAGTACTGATAGCTCGAATGGGACAGTGGGTGTTCAATTTGAACAGGAATGCGATGTACAATAATATTTTCAGCCGTTAGTTAATTACATGTCATACCTGCCAGGTTTCACGATGAATTCGTTAAATTAAAATGTAAGTCTTCTGTTCCAGATAAGTTAGCAGAAACTGATACAGAGGATGACAATGAAGATGAAAGCTCCAAAACTTAAAAAAATATATATTTTTTACTAGTAAGAATTTCATATTTTCTTTTGTAACGTTATTTTGTGTTTTTTTTTTTAATAATAAACGATAGTTTTTAATTCTTGCCAAAATACTTTAAGTGCTACAATTTGCCGCCAAACTGAAGTATCTATGTACTTACGTTACATTTTTGATCAAGACTTCGAAATTTCTGAACCCGTAAAGTAACGTAAGTATCAATTAACCACTAAAACTATAGAAAAACTTCAAAAATCATATTTCTTAATTAAATATACACCTCAGAGAAACACCCTGGTAAATTTTGCACAATTTAAAAAAGTTTAACCAGGTTAAATTAAAAACACTTTTTTTCTCCGAAATCGTTTTTGGTGACTTACGTTACTTTGGTAAATACGTATCGATACATTCTCAAAAAAAAAGTTAAAAACAAAGGTTCAAAGTAAAATCTAGGCTTCCTACCTTCTCAACAATAAAAGCCTTACGTTAATGGAAAAACATGATTTTCACCAAAACTGTCACTTGTTACTTTGGCAAAAATGCATCGATATGATAAACTTCTACACTGTGATATAGGGCTATTGAATTACTTGCGCATCAAATTTTATTGCGATTATCGTGCAAAGTAGTTACGCAATTTCTACGGGCTTCTTATTTCATGCATATTTTGATAATGATCAAAAGTATGTCTAGATTTTTAAGATGGAAAACTGAACTTATCTGCGTCAAATCTTCCACAAATCTTATATTTAGACACCATTACACTAATGTTTATCACTTTATATCTGTAATTTCGAACTGAAACATAATTATTTAATATTAAATAGAGGAATAAATGTTTGACCAATATGGCTGGTGATTGTGTATGATCATGGCGTCCATGGTGTCTTCAGTTTATTAGAATGTTTTGGTGTTGCCTGCAGGTGTTATACAACAATTTGACAAATGTCTGAAATGAAATACCGACAGAGTCCAATGATTTACCCAGAATTTGTACCAGATCTATATCTTCTGTTTGAACAGTTGATAAAACCTTTTGAACCAATATGCATGCGTTGTTTGTCTTAAATCATTTGTTATGGCATTTAAACAAAAATATGACAGCAGAAAGTTAGGTTATGGTGATGCTGTATACCAACATATTTAGGATATGTGCAGCTTTTAACCGTTAATAAACAACAGTTGTATAAATGCTTCCGTTGGGAGCAATTTGTTGGCTAAAGTAGTCAATTTGCACAGCAAAACAACAAGGCTTGGGTTTGTTTTATAAACGTTACCATGGATGCCACAACACAACCATTTTGACTAACGTGCAAATATGCCGTATAAAATAGTTGTATAAACGTTTATGCAACAGTTAAAAATTTGTCCTATAAGGTGTCGTATAACTATGCTAAAGAATATTTTAAACACCTCATTTTAGAGCAAATATGTTGCAGAAAGCAAATTTGCATTCCACACAACATTAAGCCAGCATTTTGGTGTTCAGGCAACAACAATAGAGAGCTTTTATGGCTGAATGGTTCTTTTACCAAAAGCTTATAGCACTACTTGCTAGTTGGGATGTTTCAAGTTTGTGAATTGAGATGCTTTGAAATTAAAAGGATCCAGAAACACTGACCCGTTTTTCGTTTTTATCTTTTTCGTCGCTTTGTAACTAAATACTGATGTGTGACAATTTTTGTGTATGTAGATTTTTTTTGTGTGCAATGCATATTGTATCTACATAAATGTTTATTCTGTGATGGGTCACAAAATACATGAAAACAAGCTTTACGTTGCCTTTTAAAAACAATAAAGTCTTTGATGAGACACATGTTTAACTTTTCTGGGCTTCCGTTTCATATTTTCTTAGCCAAACATACTGAAAAATACCTGAAAGTATTTTCACTCTGCAAGAGTCAAATGTTGCGTACTTTTTTGGAATCGCATGCTTATGCTGGTTTCAAGCACTTCGAGAGTTAAACAATGTTTTTTCACTTCCCTTCAAGTCCACCAGCGTGAGAGGTATAAAAATATTCACAAAAGCTGAATTGCTTTCCCTTTATAATTTGAAGATATAAAACCATGTAAATTCTCTCAGTGAAACACGAAAAATTTAGTTGTCTGCTGCTGGGGCAACATATTTTGTGTCCGTCATTTCGAAATTCTTAGTTGTCTGATTAAAAATTGGTTTTGTTGACCGTATACGATTGCAAATTTCCTTATTTTCTGTCCAACCCCCATATGCTTCCATCCCCGAGAACTTTGGACGCCAACTCGTTCTATATACGCTACTGATTCCAGCATATGATGTTAATGCATGTGAAATAAAATTCAAATCATTGTTTTTTTGTACTCGTAGTGATGCTTCGAAGAATGCAACAGTCGGAAGAAGTCCATTGACTGAGAAAATGTCCACGCTCATGCCAAATTGACAAAATCGCAGTACTTAGAAATGCAAAGATGCTAAAGTTGAAAGAAAAGACGCGTATGAAGACGACGGCGAAAGAGAAAATACAGTAGTAGATCCAGCCATACTGCGATTAAATATCTAGGATTGTGGTTTGACAAAGGACTCAAAATAACTGACCTCTTGAGGCGTACCACAAAAAAGGTAAATAAAGTCGTTACATCCCGGATTTGGCTAGTACCATATGAGGGAGGCCGCAGTGGTGATCTTGGCTAGAATGGCATTCTCGTCTATTCTCTACGGAGCTCCATTATATATTGTAGCTATGAGAAAGAGGATATTGGCAGCTAATGCTCAGAAGCCAGAAGAACCTCACATTGCGCGTGATCTGCGTGTATAGAACGATATCCTCAAATGCGTTGCTGGTGGTAGCTGGTCTTCCGCCAATTGATTTGCTGTCTGAGGAAAGATGTGCGCTCTATAAGAAGGAAGTTGGAGCCCTATATGGCGAAAGAGAAGTGCTATTCGTTGGATGATAGAAGAGATGGATTGCAACTGGTCATGCTATAAGGACTAGAAGACTGATTCCGGACACTGAAACCTGGACGATTACAGTTTCTCACAGTGCATGATTGTTTCTACAGTTATCTAAAGTTTTAAGTTGCAAAGCAACCAGGAGGACGCGGGTTCGAATCTCTGCCTCAGAAGTCAATACCATGCCATGCATGCTGTGTAGTGTGTTGTATATACCACGCACGAGGGTGCAGTATTAACGATAGGTACATTCCGTCACTGGAGCTGGTTTATTATATCAGTTACCAGTAGATAGCTCTTGGAGTAGTACACAAGCCATACTACGGGGTGGGCAAAAAGGGTCAAAGATGGCCTAGCTGCCAGGCTACTGTTACATGGTGGGATATGTAGTGAACTTCTTAGGGGTTTTACATAGTATTCTGCATCCTGGAAAATCTCACACTTCTGTTAGAAAGACTAACAGGAGAGTGCTGTCGAGCTTTTCTGTTTGAGAGAGGCTATAGAGGCTTCCTTCTCTCTTATAAGAAATAGTAGATACGATATGCTTGGGTCGAAAACAGCACTACAGTCAACGGCTTGTAATAGTTCCTTGGTATCCAGATCTGGAATTTTGAATAGTGGCAATTTTCAATAATCAGTTCTTAAGCAACTTCCCAACCCGCTTATAAAGTATTCTTCTGAGCATAGGGAGACAGTTACTGTTTTGTCTTTATACATTTCAGAATTCATGCGTTTCGTAAGACTTCCTCATTCTAGCGGATTGTTGCCCTCAACGAACTATTTTGTGTTATATATACCAAGCTAAATACAGTCTAGCTTTGTTCGTACTATATAAGATCAATCATTTTTATCAGTGAAATGATGCAGCAAAGGTCTGTAAATCTTCATGGTGTAGATCAAAGTAAGCGAATGTTCCAGCGAATGCAGTTCTAAATCATTCCGTTCGAGTTCAAAGTTTGTGCTTCGGGTAATCAAACAATAGCGCGGTCGAATTAGTGGTTTGTCAAAACTGGCGAATTCAGACTATGTAAAAGGAGCAAGTCTATGATTTGTTTCTCTTCAAAATCTCATAGTCTGTACTCAGTATCAAGTCCATCAGGCTTAAACCGACAGGTTGACAGTTGCTGACACTTCACATGAAATTCGTACTCTTCAGCGATAACATGTAAAGTTGCGTAGATTCCATGCAGTCCTAGCCTGCAAATTGTTTAAAAAGGTGAAGGTTTCTGACGGTTGGAAATGCTGTTTAAATTGAATTATATAGTCATCGGCGTTGTGAGAGGTCAAACGTTGGGCTTTTACCTGGACCCTGGTCAGGTGATTTTGTCTTATTTCTGCCCACTTCATGTTTCTTTGACTGCCCATTGCGAATCTGAGATTTGTTAGGGAGATTTTATACTAAAAAATGGAAAGTGTTGAGATTTGAGGAATTCTAGAATGGTCCAACTGAAACTATAATTTTGTGACTTATCTACACTAAAAGCTCTAAGGCCCGTATCGTCAGTCGTCCCTACAATTGTAGGGCGCGTTTATGGCCTCCTTGATTGTCATACTCCTTTCTCTCCTTCAAAAATTTCTAGATTACACTTGTCCCGTGTCAGCGTCAGCGCTCTCTTATTGTGAAGATATGTTTTCTTTTTAAATTGTAGGAAATTTCAGGCTGATACAACATGATGCAACTCAAAAGCAAGCACAATCTGATGCAAATAGATGTTTGTGACATAACCTCAAAATAGAGCGCTGACACGGAGAAATAGAAAACTATGGCAATCAAGGAGGCCATAAAGGCGCCCTACAATTGTAGGGACGACTGACGATACGGGCCTTAGGCCCCACGTTCAATGCCACTAAAATTTTCTAAGCAAAGCAAATTTATTTTTTATATTTTTCATGGTCGTTCCTACAATTGTAGGGCGCCTTTATGGCCTCCTTGATTGTCATAGTTTTCTACCTTCCCGTGTCAGCGCTCTATTTTGAGGTTATGTCACAAATATCTATTTGCATCAAATTGTGCTTGCTTTTGAGTTATGTCATGTTTCATCAGCCTGAAATTTCCTACAATTTAAAAAGAAAACATATCTTCACAATAGGAGAGCGCTGACGCTGACACGGCACAAGGGTA